GTGCGCAGTTCCCCCCACGGTCCCCCCTCATTTGCCTTTGTGTGGATCCTGACCCGCCGGCTCCCGGCCGCGGGGATCCGGCCACCGCGCGGGGTGGGGAGCTGCCGGAGGCGCTCTCCCCGCCGCGGCGCTGCCCCAGACTCACCCTCAGCGAGGCACAGAGTCGCCCAGTGCCCGTCTGGCTCTCACTTGCCCCGGCGCTGTCTCTATGGAGCTCAATGTACTGCAATGGCTGTGAGAGCGGGAGCCAGACGCAGCCTCCTCACTCTCTCCGCTCTGTAACATTACTCTCCAGCCAGCGCGGCTCCTATTGGCTACCGCCAACTCACGGGGCTCGCTCATTGGCCCGATACCTCCCATTGTCCTGACCAGAGCCCGTTTACTATTGGCTGTCTCCGGGGACACGTCATCAAGGATTGAAACAGCGCGCAAATCTGAATGTGTGTGTATGCCGGGCAAAGAGGCTGAGGCGGGAGAGGCAGAGGCAGAGGCAGCAGCTGCTACGGGAAAGCAGAGCTCTATGGTGTATGTGTGCATGTGTCTAACCCAAGCCAGCCCCACACCGGAGCGGCCGCCGGGGCGAAAAGGGCCTGACTTTTCCACAAGTGTCTCCAACTCCTCAGGCAAAAGAGACACTCACAGGCCTCCCCCCCCCTTCTTACCCCAAACTCACTTCCAAAGCCACTGAGATAAGAGGCCCCAGAATTTTAACAGACCTTCAAAAGTGAGGGCGACCCCGTCCCCTGAAAACCGGGGTGTCTGCTAATGCAGAGGGGTGAAGGCAGCCAAGATTCGAGCCCCTCAACAGCATATGGTTGCGTTACCCTCTAGATCTCGGGAAAGGCAGGGCTTTTCCTCTAACCAAGTGACACGATCCAGTCAGCCGGTTTTAAAATACCCCTTTTCTGGGCTCATAAGCCGGACCGACAAGCTTGCTGAGCAGCCAAAATCTTGACTCCCTGAACAGGCGTTCAGTTTCACTCTTTCTCTTGGTTTGATCGAGTTTCCCAGCATGTCTAGAACTTTTTATGTAAATACAAAGCACTGTCTTAACTTCCTGGAAATCAAATAATTATTCCATGTAATTAAAGCACAGCTCCCTCGTTCTGATACGGGGTACTCTAGCAGGAACCGTTCGTGAGGGCCTGCTAGAATTAGCAAATTCATTAGAGACCACATTTTTAACTGTTTGGCTGTTTTCTTTGACTTGGTGTGGATTACTGTTATAATCAAACGAATCCTTGTGATGCTATCTTTCCCTCCCATCACACCACTTAGTGCATCCATGTAACTGCTCTAGGATTACAGCAGTTGTAGGTGTATTGTTACCCGAGGATTAGATGCAGGCAGAGAGTGCGTATGCCCAAATCCACAGGCTGTGGTTTCTCTAACTCACCAAGCTGGCTGGTATTAACAGACATACTTATTACGTCTGTAAAGAAAATGTACTAGCTATAATGGCCAGTTCTGAAGGCTATACTTCTATCAGTCTTTTATGAAACTATTATCTATGCCTCCTAAGCCTATGCAGACCACACCCCTATTCGGTTATAACAGACTTCCCCTTTTTCACTCTCTAATGGAATGTTTATACACTTTTAAATCCAGCAGCCAATTCTTCCCAAATGTGATAGATCTAAGTTAAAACAAGTCATTTTCTTATGTTAATTTCACTTCTTATATCCACTCTAAGCATCCATAACCTAATGTGTTTGCTCCCATTTGTTAGGCTCTTTGAGAATAGGCTCCGATAACCTTTCCTGACCTATAGATAACCTTTTTAAAAAGGCTGGTCTCAGGGATTACAGTCCTGTGGAATGGACAATACATACAAATGCACATGAAAATCAGCATACTATTAATATATAAACTAGCATAACGTACATGCAATATTTAAAAAGCTAACATCTAAAGGTAACTTTTATTTTGTTATTTTCACACATATTTACCCTTGTCTACTTTCTCTATGAATCACATTTTGCGATCCATTCAAATCTACATATCTACCTCAATTCTGCTCTACCTTCTCGGGGCCTATATTACAAAATATTGATAAAAATTGTCTACATTTTAAACGGCGTCCATGATATCAAAATCTGACTATTATTTGAAGATAGCACTATCAGCATTTTTCAGGAGCAATGTTGGATTTGCCCTGTCCCAACGACACAACTTTTACCAGTTTTCTGTAATAGCTAACTCCTGCCAGGCTAAATTCATGGTCACAGAACTGCAGGAAAGTATGGGCCCACACAGGTTTCTATTTCAGCAGGATGGTGCGGTGAGTAATAGGCACTAGATTTAAATAGAGACCTGGGTTCAAACCCCAGCTCTGCTACTTACCAGCTTTATAATCTTAGGCAAGTTTTTTTTTTTTTTTTTTCCCCTTCAGGTGTTTATTTAAATTCTAGTTAGTTAACATACAGGACAACATTGGTTTCAGGAGTAGAATTGAGTGACTCATCACATACATACAACACTCAGTGCTCATCATAATGAGTGTTTTAGGCAAGTTTTTTAACCTCTTTGTTGCTTCTTCAATTCTCTCAGTATAACATGGAGGTGGTCACAGGGTTGTTGGAAAGATTAAACTTTTCTTTCAAAGGTTTCAAATTGTGTCATGCACATCCCTTCAAACCCATGATTTAGCAAGCATCAAGTACAGTTAACTTGGAGTTTTTCTTTATTATTTTTAATTTTATGAGGGCAGTGGTTGCAAATCTAATGAAGCCTTTTTATTTCAATCCTAGACTCAAACACTAATCTTCATCCATTCTGGTGAAGATGCCTTTATATATTCCCAAGTGTAACAGAGGCCAGGTCAGAGGAACATAAAAACCTCCACTTACAGGCACAACATTTCTCATGTTTGTTTTTCCATTATATAGGGAGGGAAAGGCATAACAAGGAAAGAAGCTTTTCAAGAAACCCTACAACTTCTAGCTCTAATCCTGCAACCTTGATGTTCACTTATTCATGATGGTAGACCCCTTCCTTCCTCAACATGAATCACTGGCCAGAAACTGGCATACAGTTTACGTTAGAGTTCTTGGGTGTTTGATCTTAAATTACAAAGATACCTAATTCAAAAAGCCTGAATGCTCTCTCCCATACCTCATTTAGCTAACTGAACTGCAGATCTTCACTAATACAGTTTACACCCTTGCTGAAGCCTGCCTCAATCTCCTCTACAGGGTAGGTAACGGGCCTCTCTTCTGCGATCCCATAATATTCTGTGCATTATTTATCGTGTTCACAAGTGTGCTTATCCAGTTATGGGTCTGCTTGTCCTACTGCACTGCATCCCTTAAAGGCAGGGACCCTAGCTTATCTTTGTATCCCAAGCACCTACCAGGGTGCCTGGCATCTGGCAAGCACCAAATAAAGTCTGTTGAATAAATGAATTAACAGCTGAAAGAGTACTTACTGCAAATTATTGTTTTAATCTTCCTCTTCCATCTTTGGAGATAAGCATTGGGGTCTCTCTAAATCAGAAGGCAGGAAAATAGAGTAATAAGTAATAAGTAAATGTTAGGATACTAAAAGTGAGGATAGATGCCAACTGCATCATCATTTTTTGTTAAATGTTTATTTGTTTTTGAGAGGGAGAGAGAGTGCACGCAAGCAGGGGAGGGGCAGAGAGAGAGAGAGGGGCAGAGGATCCGAAGCGGGCTCTGCGCAGACAGCAGCTAGCCCGATGGGGGAATCGGAGCTCGAACTCATGAACCACAAGATCATGACCTGAGCCGAAGTGGGACGCTTCATTGAGTCACCCAGGTGCCCCCGCATCTCAGTTTTATAACTTAACATGGGGAAGATGGGACTGGGGGGCTGGAGGGGACCTCAAATTTAGACAAACACACACATTTTTAGCAGTTAACAGTTTCCAACTCGGCCAAGGTTATTCCTTGTTGGATACAGTGGACTATGGCAAGCCAAATAAGAATTTATCACAGAAAACTGCAAGAATGTCTGCCCAAAGGTTGCTTCCAACAGACATTTGAAACTTAACTCTAACGTAAAAAAATACAAAATGCAGACGGGGCTGTTAAGTCTTTGGCCGAAGGATATTAATTCCTCCCCCAATGCAGTGAGTCCTAAAGTCAAGCTATGTGAATTGTCCTGTTGTTTCGCTTCTCGACAAGGGCCAGGTTCTGAAAAGGAGTAGAAACAGTAAACCAAAATGTCGGATGAGGTCAACCATACTACGGATCATACATACTTAAAAACCTTTTCTCTTCAAGGGTGCTTAAAACAAAGGAGAGAGGAAATCAGGAAAAGAAGAGCACAGGTTTGTGAAGTTTGGACTCCGAGCTAGGACACTGAGTTCCAAGTGCCCTCCTCCACCCCCCACCCCCACGCTCATGGACTTCTGGTAGCCCCTAAGGCCTGTGCTCCGTTTCCCCCACTCTTACTTAGGCCTAGTGAAACCTTGTCTAATTCGAAAGGATGTTACGGGATAGGCACAAAGCAAGACCAGAGGCAGGGGGCTGAGAGGTGGTGTTACATTTGTCAGTGCGTGGAGAAGGCCAAGCTGGTCCTGAGTTGCTTAAGTATTTCTGCCCCAGCCAGAGTTTTCTGTCTGTGGCTTGCAAGTAGGGAAAGGAGTGAGATCAGCTGTGGGCTGCATTGATGGCGGAGGCAGAGAAAACAGTCCTGAAGCTAATTTATACCAATAATATCTCTAGAACTGGAATATTTCACTGGTGAATAAGGAAGAGATAGCACACCTTTTCTTAATAGGATGCCTGTTCTCTCGCCAAAGAATGGTACACACGAGGAGGGGAAAGCTTATCAGCAAAACTTTTTGTAAAACAATGATCTAAATTCTTTTTTAACATTTATTTGTTTATTTTTTGAGACAGAGACAGAGCAGGAACGGGGGAGGGTCAGAGAGAGAGGGAGACACAGGATCTGGAGCAGGCTCCAGGCTCCGAGCTGTCAGCACAGAGCCCGACACGGGGCTCGAACTCACGGACTGCGAGATCATGACCTGAGCCGAAGTTGGACGCCCAACCGACTGAGCCACCCAGGCGCCCCTCCCTGTAGAACAATGATCTAAATCCAACAAAGATCACTCTTTTAGGTCTTGATCTCAAGAACCACATCAACAGCCCAAATTCAACTGCTGTATTGAAAGTGTCGCAAACCTTAGGAATCAATGTCTTAGCATACCTAGGACGGCTGTAAGCAAAAAGACAGACGACAGCAAGTGTGGGTGAGGATGTGGCGAAATTGGAACCGTCATAGACGGCTGGTGAGCATGTAACATAGTGCAGCTGCTTTGGAAAAC